ATGCCACACTATAAATTAACTTTTATGGAATATTTCAAATTCAACCAATATCCATTTTAGGAAAATATATAAGTATTGTCAATACTGTATTTTATAATTCAATAAAAATTCATTCAGCACTTTGCAACAAAGATAGAAAAAATTATTTCCACGTTGTATATTTTTCTTCATCATTCGACATTTGCGAAAGAACTTTAGCTTATCTTGGACAACCAGAAAAGAACCCTATAACAAGATATTGTCGCGTATCTGCTTGTTTGTTAATTTTCGGTATAAAATCTTTTTGAGAAACTTCAACTATACAAGTCCTTTCTTGATGAACCCAGTTTATTCTTCCTCGATACAACTTTTTGTAATACACAGAGTTTCCACAGTCACTTTCAACTTAACAACCTTTATAAAACACGCAAAATAACACATTACACACTCCTCTGATCATAGTGATTACATACTGCGAATAATATTGCATTAAATATATATTTTAACTTCACTTTACACATATGAATTGCCAAGTAAAACTTTCTAACTGAGATGTTATTATAGACTTTAATGACAGTTATTTCTAATAAAGATAACATTATTAATACAGTATTGACTAAAATATTTGCATACTGTTCTATATTGATGTTATTGTTCACATGCATGAAGTAGCTATTGAGCAAATGCCCGAGTAGTGACCAAAGAGTAGCGTATGATCGTAAAAACATGTACGAGTTGTTATTCTGGTCTGTATAAGTTGTTTCGAGCATTTGTTCCTCAAAACACATACACATTTGTTCTGTATAACAGGGTATGCTTTTGGTATAATCATTTTTGAATCAAGTCAAATTTTGTTCAAACAATTTATCTGTAGTTGGTGTAGAAACATGCCTCATCACGTGGCAGAAGTTATAGGACATCAAATTGAGCGACTGTCCAGAAATGGTATGAAAGAATCAGACATTGCCAGAACAGTAGGGTTCTCTCTGTGCACTATATCCAGAATCATGAAACGTCATCGGACTACAGGAAACATTATTACAGGAAAGTCAACTGGTTGACACCATAAAACTATAACCCGAGATGACTGTTTTTATTTGGTTAACATGTCAAGGTCGAAAGAAGTCTTGCAAAATATTATGACAGGAAAGGCATGAACACATTCAGTCCACGGTATCCAGAAAAACAGTGAAAGAAGGAGACTGACCAAACAAGAAAGGCTATCTTCCAACTGATATTAACCAGAATACACTGCCGTCACCATATTACTTGGGCAACACAGCATGCTAACTTTCAGTTAGGACACTGGTGACGAAAAACGAAGACGCCTGGAACAGACTAGAGTTGCCAGGAAATGTCATGATCCTACTAGAATCTCATCACCTTTTACCAGCGTCACGTGACTTCCGTTGTCGTAACAATATATTAGAACAGCAAACAATTTTATCAGACACCTGTAGAGAAATGTGTAATTCAGCATTTCACCTATTCCAACAAAACCTTATCAAAACATATATAATGGCAAAATATAACACCACATTATTATAAATAGCATCTATAGCGTTATATAAGTTCATATAAAACATTCATTATTTGGTTGGTCTTCCTCGTACTCTATTAACCTCCAAAAGACGACGTGGCATGCTGTTGATGATGTTATTGATGTAATTCGCAGTGACTTCATCCCAGCTTGTCACCAGAAGGCGCTGTAACTCAGTTACAGTAGCTGGTTTATGTATGTGGTTAGCAATTTTCTGGCTAAGTTCTATCCGACAGTTCTCAATGGGATTACAATCTGGAGGCTTTGCTGGTCATGGCAGTTTTGTAACATCTTTCTCGTCGAGATAATCCTGTACAATACGAACACTGTAGGCAGTGGCATTGTCATTCTGGAACGCAAAGTTATTGGCAAACCTTGCCCTAGCATATGGCAGAAATATTGTCTCCATGAAATGCCTGAAGGAGGCACGATTGACGTTTCCCTGGAGGATAGAAGATCATTTTTTCCACCATGATGAATAGCTGCTCAAACATGACTGCAACACCTCCTGTGTGTTTCCTGTGGGTAATACAATCTTCCCTCATCTATTCTCTAAGCAAACAACGAGCACAAATCCTACCATCAGCTTTAAGAAGCCGTAAACAGGACTCATTTGAAAAGATGACACATCTTCTTGTTTATTTTCTCGTTCTTCTTATTTCTTTTGCTGTTCCTGTATTGCTGCCATCAAATCTGCTAGGCTGTAGTTTGATTTGCCACCACTTGTTTCCTTCTTCTTCTTTTTTTCTCTTTCCCATTCCACTCTCTGACATCAATTTGTTGGGTATCTGCTTGTTTGTTAATTTCCCGTAGAAATTATTTCGAGAAACTTCAGCGATACAAGTCCTTTCTTAATTAAAACTAGTTTATTATTTCTTGATACAACTTTGCAATACACAAAATATCCACAGTCAGTTTAACTTAACTACTTTTATAAAAACACGATATAATTCACAGGGATTCACACACCTTACTTATGGCTTGACTCCATTATCTCGATCTTCAATCTCTCTATCTATGCAATTCTCTCTCCGCTTTATTTGCCGGGCTTATATACTGACAACA